TGTGTGTGTGTGTGTTGCCCAGGCTTTGGCTGGGACCAAGTTCTTTGCTCATGCCTAGAATCCTAGAATCGTGTGTGTGTGTGTGTGTGTGTGTGTAAGAAAGAAGGCATCTCCCAGGGCTCTTTGCCATCTCCTCCCCCTTCTCATCCTGTCGCCTCTTAGGCTGGGATCACCACCACCCTGAACTCTCGCTGCTCCGTCCTGGCTGCTGCCAACTCAGTGTTCGGCCGCTGGGATGAGACGAAGGGGGAGGACAACATTGACTTCATGCCCACCATCTTGTCACGCTTCGATATGATCTTCATTATCAAGGATGAGCACAATGAGGAGAGGGATGTGGTGCGTCCAGGGCCAGGGCTGAGGGCCATGGGGCCTGGCTCCAGGCGAGCTTCTGATTGCGTGGAAGGAAAATGGAGAACAAGGGTCTTGGCTGGTGAAGTCCTAACTGTCAGGCTGTGAAGTTGGGGAGCATGTGAAAGGGTATTTGTTGGGGACTGCAGAGGATTGAAGTAGGGGTCTGGAGTCCTGTGGCCTGGCTCTGCCTCTGCTGTGAGTGATAAACTGTGTGACTGGGGCTAAATCAGTTTCTCCATGGGCCTCAGTCCCTTGTATATGAAACAGGAGTTGACATTGGGTTATAATTAATAGAACCTCAGTTCTGGTTAGTAAATTTTTCATTGAAAAGATTAGAGTGGTTTATAGAATTGAGAAGTCCAGCAGCTTAAGGCCCAGGTATATCTGGATTCTCAAACAACTCTGTCTCTGCCTTTCTGCTCTGCTTCCCTTGGTGGAATCTTTATACTTGGGCAGCCGTTCCTCTTGTGGTGGCAAAGACAAGATAAGATTTTGTCTTATTAGCTTATAGCTTAATAGCCCCCAGGAAAGAGGCGCCCCTTTTCCAGTGCTTTTAGCAAAAGTCCCAGGATAGACTCATGTTGGTATGGGTAGATCAAATGTCCATCCTCGAAGCAGATATATGCCCCAAGTTGGGGTGGACAGGCTGAACCCCACCCCTTTATGGACCAGGGCAGAAGAGCAAGGAGCATTAACTTCTCTCTAAAGGAGAATCCAGGCTGGGCGTGGTGGCTCATGCCTGTAATCCAAGCACTTTGGAGGCCAAGGCAGGCGGAGCACCTGAGGTCAGGAGTTCAAGACCAGCCTGACCAACATGGTGAAACCCCGTCTTATTTAAAAAAAAAAAAAAAAAAAAAGAGAGAATCCAGATGCTGTCGTCAGAATGAGGGTCTGGTGCTGAGCAAACAGGATGAGCATGCCTGATATCTCAGCACCCTTTCTGGATCTGTGTTGCTAGGGTCCCATGAGCTTTTTCTGCCTGTTCTACCTCAGGGTTGGGACCTAGGCTTGGGAGGGCCTGTGGGATGACCCTGTGTCCCCTCTGTCCCCTTTCCCCCCTCTCCCTCAGATGATGGCCAAGCATGTCATTACTCTGCATGTGAGTGCACTGACACAGACACAGGCCGTGGAGGGCGAGATTGACCTGGCCAAGCTGAAGAAGTTTATTGCTTACTGCCGAGCGTGAGTCCTGGATGCAGGCCCGTGGGGGTGAGGTTGCCCAGCTTCCCTGGGTGGGAGAGAACCCAGTCCCCTGATCCTGCACCTCCTCATGAAGAGCAGCCCAGATGTGGCTGTTCTGAGGTCTTCAGCTCTACAGAAGCTGTTCTGCTCCCTTCTCACCTTGCACAGCTCACTGGCTCTTGGCTTCAATTTTCCCATCTTCCCACCAAGGAGGTGGGATTTAGATAGTCTTGAAGTCCTCCTCAAGTCTGACATGCAGGGAGGCAGTGAAGTGTGGACATGGTGGACATGCGCTCCGGGTCATACCTGCCCTCACTGTATGACTCTGGGCAAGTTGGTTGGCCTCTCTGAGGCTTGATTTCCCCAGGCTGATGTTTCCTAGGATTTTTGTAAGGAGTACATAAGATGATGCGTAAGTGCTTGGCATAGCCCTTCTCTAGGTAAATAAATACTCAGTGAATGGTAGCTGCAACTTTATTGTTCTCTCCCAGATTTTCAATAATAATAATTACATACATAGTACTGGCCTGGTGCAGTGGCTCACGCCTATAACCCCAGCACTTTGGGAGGCCGAGGTGGGTGGATCACTTGAGGTCAGGAGTTCGAGACCAGCCTGCCCAACATGGGAAAGCCCCGTCTCTACTAAAAATACAAAAAATTAGCTGGGCATGGTGGTGCGTGCCTGTAATCCCAGCTACTCAGGAGGCTGAGCCAGGAGAATTGCCTGAGCCCAGGAGGCGGAGGTTGCAGTGAGCCGAGATCGCGCCATTGTACTCCAGCCTGGGTAACATGAGTGAAACTCCGTCTCAAAAAAAAAAAAAAAAAAAAAAAAAAAAGACAAAAATTAGTCCAGTGTGGTGGTGGACACCTGAAGTGCTACCTGGGAGGCTGAGGCAGGAGAATCGCTTGAACCCCAGAGGTAGAGGTTGAGGTGAGCTGAGATCATGCCACTGGGCAACAGAGCAGACTGTCTCAAAAAAAAATATGTATATATGTGTGTGTGTGTGTGTGTGTGTGTGTGTGCGCACACACTACTTTCTTTGTTCCAGGCCTTATTCTGAATATTATTCAGCACTTTCTATATGAATAAATTGTAACCTTCCCCAAAACCTACCAGGTTAGGTGTGCTATTATTCCCTTTATGGATGGGGAAGCGGAGGCAAAGGAAGTTAAGTAACTTGTCCAAAGTCACGTGTCAGGTAGTGGAGCCAGGATGTGAACCCAGTTGCCTGCCTCCAGAGGCTATGCTCTTAACCTCAGTGCTTAGACTCTTGTCATACAGCACCTTGGTGATCTTTTGAAGGAGCTAAAACCCAGGGGTCGAGTGTACTCTGAGTTCACTGCTGGTGGGGTGCTGGTGGGTCCCTGATTCAGCACCTCTGCTGTGGTGAGTGGACAGTCCTGGGTCTTCATCCAAGTCTGAGCTCTGTAGAGCCCAGTCTTGAGAGGCTTGGACCCCCAGCTGTGAGCCAGGGAGCCCTGGATTCTAATCTTACCTCTGCACTAAGTCCTCAGGTAGGCTTGGGAGTGCCCTCCCTCCCTTTGGGCTTCAGTCTCCACATCCTTAGGATGGTTGAACTAAGGCTTTCCCTACATCAGTGATTGTCAGTTGGCCTGGGGGCTGGAGGGGAGGGAAATGGTTTGGGGTAGATGCTGATCAGATTTCCTCACACCCTCCCCTCCCAGGAGAGTCTGAGGTGCTCCCAGCCCTTGGACTGCTATCACTGCCAAGCCTCCTGTGGGTGTCATCAGCTTGTCCTGTCTTCAGATGTGTTGGGGCGGAGGAATTTGAGACTGCGCCACCCAGTGGTCCTCCATGCTGCTGTGATTGTGCCATTGTTAACTACATGTGTGGGGACAATGCCCTTGTTAATTACAATATGGGGAACATTGTGGCAAGACACCATACAATGTCCAACAGTGGGGAAGGGGCGGTTTTCACTCTGCAGATGTGGCCTGGCTTTTCTTCACCTGTTTTCTAACAGGCATCCATATTTCTCTCCAGTATTGATCTTTGTGGCAGCTGCCCAGAGCCAGATTTCCCTTATATCTCTTCTGATGGTTGCCCCCCTGGCCCATGTGAGTGGGCAGCTGTGTTGTGGTGGGAAAGTGCCTGTCTGTAAGCTGGCAGAGGGCTGGGGGAAAGGGTAGGCGCCCTAAGAGTCCCTCCTGGCCTCACACCAGCCACTCCCCACTGTCCTGTAGGAGATGCGGCCCCCGGCTGTCAGCAGAGGCCGCAGAGAAGCTGAAGAACCGCTACATCATCATGCGAAGCGGGGCCCGTCAGCATGAGAGGGACAGTGACCGCCGCTCCAGCATCCCCATCACTGTGCGGTGAGCAGGCAGGCAGGGTTGGGCCAGGGCAGATAGGCCTTGCTTTACAAAAAAGCAGGGTGTGCCTAGCAACCAGGGACAGTGGTCCATACTTTTCACCTGGCACAGGCCCGTAGTAGCTCTGGGCAGCAGGTGTCCCTTTGGAGCATAAGCTATGACCTCCTTGATCTCGTTGATGATCCGTATTTCTTGGTTTAAGGCTGGGCAAACCTGGACCCCTCTTGTCTGAATTTGGACTGGCTTCTCCCATTGTAGGAAGCCTGAGGGAAGGACCCAGGCCTGGGAGTCAAGAGACTTGGGTTGTAGCCTCTAGCCCACTGTGTGACTGTGGGGAAATTACATTTCTTCTCTGGCCTCAGTGTTTTTAGCTCCTAACTCTGTTAATTGTTGACTTTATAGTCAGTACAGTGGGTAGGAGCCGGGAGTTACCTGGTTTGAATCCTGCCTCCAGCATTGACTGGTTGGAAATGGATTTGGCTATATGTAATGGTAAATCCAAATCAAGTAGCTTAAAGAAATGGGAAGTTGATTTCTGTCTTCTGTAGCACTGTCTGGAGGAAGATGGTATGGGACTGGTGTGAGGACTCCTCAAGCTCCCCTTACTCTTAGTCCACGATGGCTGCTGGAACTTCAGCCATCACCTCCAGGCAGCAGGAGAGGAAAGAAAAGAGGGGTTCCCTTTTTAAGGACACTTGACGAAATTCCCACACGATGCATGGACTTGCCACAGTTTGGTCACACAAATACAACCTGGTACAAAAGATGCCTGGGGTGTGTCTTTTAGTGGATTGCTGTGTGCCAGGTGCAATGGCCTGCACTTGTAATCTTAGCACTTTGGGAGGATGAGACAGGAGGATTGCTTGAGGCCAGGAGTTTGAGACCAGCCTGGGCAACATAGCGAGGCTCCTATTTCTAGAAAAAGTAAGTAATTAGCCAGGCGTGGTGGTATATATCTGCAGACCCAGCTACTCAGGTGGCTGAGGCGGAAGGATCACTGGAGCCCAGGAGTTCCAGGCTGCAGTAAGCTATGATCATGCCACTACACTCCAGCCTGGATAAAGAGCAAGACCTTGTCTCAAAAAAAAAAAAAAAAAAAAAATTCACAGTTCTATGACTAAGATTAAAAGGGAGATGGATTATGGGGACAGCCAGTAGTCTCCATCACAGTCTACCACTTTGGGCAAGCACCTCCTGGTAATGGGGTGGCCAGGGAGGAAGGGAGTAGTGGGCCGAGGCCACTCTGAGCATGCTGTTGGCCCCACAGGCAGCTGGAGGCCATTGTGCGAATCGCTGAAGCCCTCAGCAAGATGAAGCTGCAGCCCTTCGCCACAGAGGCAGATGTGGAGGAGGCCCTGCGGCTCTTCCAAGTGTCCACGTTGGATGCTGCCTTGTCCGGTACCCTGTCAGGTGAGCAGGTGCAGGGACATCGTCTCAGTGGATCTGGGTTCCCTGGCTCAGAGCTCTGTGGGCAGGACTCGGGGATGCTGGGGGCCTGCAGTATGTGTGTTGCTTCTGCGAGTTTGCCGAGGAGGGGATGCCAGGCCAGGAGCTGCAGGAAGTAGAATATGTGGCTCCTGGGGGAGGAGTTGCTCGGGTGGAGGCAGCGCTAAGTGTCAGTTTCCCTAGGAGGGAGCAGGTTTGGTGCATTTGAGTGGGGAAGCACTGGGTGAAGAATGGGGTGAGTGGAGGCTGTTCCTCTTGTCCCCCGTGGTGAAGATTCTGCCTCTGCCCTGGAGACACTTCCTGTCACATGAGACATTTGCTAGTGGAGGCCTCTGGGATGCTGCAGGCACAGAGGGCAGGGGCGATCTGGAGTGGTGATAATTTGAGTTGGGTCTTGTAGGCTGTGTAGGAGTTTGCCTCACAGACTCCGCTCTCAGTGGCTTCTTGACCACGAGCACGCCATCTCCGTAGCTGGAGCACCAAGGCCTCTGCAGCAGTAATTGGAAGTCAGGAGCCTCCTGGTTGCCGAGGGCTCCTCAGGGCACCTCGTAGGTGTGTCCAGGGCAGCCAGCCCTCCCCGTGGGTCACTGACAGGTCCCTTCTAGCTCGTCATCTCTCATCTACTCCAGCAACAAAAGTTGTGCTATGGCTTCCAGGGACCTGCAGGACCTGGTCCCTAGTGACACTCTGGCCACATCTCTGTTGCATTGGGCCCTGGGCTGCTTTTTGAATGAGACAGGTGTGTTCCTGCCTCTGTGCCTTTGTGCTCGGCCTGGAGTATCCCCAGATGTGTCCTGTCTCCTGTCAGGCCTGTATCGTGCCAGCACACGAGGTGCTCTTTTCTGGTGCATTCTTCAGGGCTTGGCTCAGGCTATTCTTCCTTGGGCTAGAGGCTGTCTGTCTCCAAGAATTCCCATTGTGGGCACACTGGGGTCCCAGCACCTCTGACCCCGGCTACCTCACTTCTCAACGCTAACAGGGGTGGAGGGCTTCACCAGCCAGGAGGACCAGGAGATGCTGAGCCGCATCGAGAAGCAGCTCAAGCGCCGCTTTGCCATTGGCTCCCAGGTGTCTGAGCACAGCATCATCAAGGACTTCACCAAGCAGGTGAGCCTGCCGTGGAGTGGGGGTGCAAGCCTGCGCAGATGCAGGGGTTCTGCCGGTTCCTACCCACGCAGCACCAGTGTCTTACTCAGCAGACAGGCCCTGAATAGGGGTACGATGGATCAGACCTTTTCCAGCCATCATTCCTTCCCTAGGGACGGCTTCATCAAGAGCAGGGGGAGGGGTATTTTTCTGTCCCATGAAGGGGAGGGGAGAAGAGAGGTGGTTGGGATCTGGTGGAACCCCACACAGGCTCCCCGCAGCCATTCCCATCTGTTCGTTGCCCTGTTGCCTGACATTTCATGGAGTGGGAAGGGGCAGAGCCACTAGCTCACTGAGGAGGGTGCTGTTGGCCCCATAGAGAGGAGATGGGATTTTCCAGATGCTCTGGAGAACCTGTCACCTTTAACTCTCAGGAGCAATCCTAGTTTCCTGTCTCTGCTCTCTGTCTTGAACATCATCTCATTTTGATTCAGGGCAGTTATATGTAATGGGTGGTATGGTGCCTATTCCATAGGTGAGCAGACTGAGGCTTAGAGAGAGGTTTAGAGCTTCAGTTCTAGAGTCAGATGGACTTAAGTCCCAGCTCTACCACTTAATTGCTGTGACCTTGAGCAAGTGGCTTAGCCTCTATGTGCCTTAGTGTCTGGTACACAGTAGACACTTGGGAAGTGTGGGCCTTTCTTCAGGTCAAAGGAAGCTGGGTATAAAGTTCACTGTGAGCCTGGGGATGTCTGAGCTCTGTTGGGGTCCCCTTGGGCAGCATGCACCTTCATCCAGCCATGTGCTCCCACAGAAATACCCGGAACACGCCATCCTCAAGGTGCTGCAGCTCATGCTGCGGCGGGGCGAGATCCAGCATCGCATGCAGCGCAAAGTTCTCTACCGCCTCAAGTGAGTCGCCGCCTCACTGGACTCGTGGACTTGCCCATGTCTCAGGCCCCTCCTGCCACTGTCTGCCATTGAGAATGCTGCTTTGCTCTCTGCCGCCCCACTGCTGTCCTCGAACTTCCCACGCACCCTCCTTTCTGCTCCAGAGGGAGGAGCTGTAGTGTCCTGCCGCCTCTGGGCCACTGCCTCCAGCGCAGTTCTGAGAAGTGTGCTTTTGGCATCTGTTAATAATAAAGGCACAGTGTGTTCGGGTGTCTGTGGGTTTCCTGAAGCCTCCATCAGGAGGTTTCCTGTCACCTCCATCATGCCCTCATGGCAGGGTAAGTGTGGGGGAACAGGGCCTGGAGCCAGACGGACCTGGGTGTCTGACTTGGATCTGCCACTAAGACTTCTGGGCAAGTCACGTGACTTGAGTGCTCTGTTTCTGAATCTGTTTAATGGGGCTCATAAAGCCAGTCCCTTGATGCTGGGAATCCAGTGAGATCCAGGGAGTAGGGACATGCTTCGCAAAGTTGTGTGAGTTTGATCCGCCTCACCTGTTCCCCAGCAACTTACTGAGGGGCAGAGAGGGGGTGCGGCAGTCAGACCGCCTGAATTCGTCAAACCTCTCCACATCTTAGTTTCCTCATCTGTAAGCAGGCTGACACTAGCACCTGCTTCACAGGGTTGTGCTTAGGGTCAGTGAGCAGCGGTTAGTGAAGTGAGTGTAGTGGCCCACCAGTCAGGAACTGGGACTCCAGCCAGTTCTTCCCTGGTGGACCACGTGTAACTGTGTGGCCTTGGACGAGACAGTTCACTTTTCTGTGCCTGAGTTTGTGAGTAAACTGGAGAGGGGCTATTCCTTACCCTGAATTGTGAAAATTGAATGACAGAAGGCACTGGTGACAGCGGTGTTGGAGGAAAGTGTCGCCCGTGCCTTGGTCACTTTGCCTAACTTCAGAAAGTCACTCTGAGTCGGTATGTTTTGTTTTTAAAAAAAAGCTAGGATTCATAATATTAGATAGAAATCAATGAAATAGGCTGGGGACGGTGGCTAACGCCAGTAATCCTGAACTTTGGGAGGCCGAAGTGGGCAGATCACCTGAGGTCAGGAGTTCAAGACCACCCTGGCCAACATGGTGAAACCTGGTCTCTACTAAAAATACAAAAAATAAGCCAGGCATAGTGGTGGGTACCTGTAATTCCATCCGCTTGGCAGGCTGCAGCAGAGAATTGCTTGAACCCAGGAAGCAGAGGTTGCAGGGACCCAAGGTCGTGCCACTGTACTCCAGCCTTGGTGACAGAGTGAGACTCCATCTAAAAAAAAA